AAACATGAAGAGTCTCATCCACCTAAATATGGTGCAAAACCAACTTAATGGTACCCTACCTCCAACCTTAGGTCTTTTATCCAAGTTGCAGTGCCTAAATCTTCAAGAAAATCAAATCAGTGGTTCTATCCCCTCAGAAATAGGAAACATGAAGAGTCTCATCTACCTAATTATGGGGCAAAACCAAATTCTTGGTCCCCTACCTCCCACTTTGGGTCTTTTACATACGTTGAAGCACTTAAATATGAGCACAAATCAAATCGATGGTTCCATCCCTTTGGAAATAGGAAATTTGAAGAATCTAGCTTACCTGAATCTTGGTTCGAATCATTTAGAAGGTTCAATCCCTGAAGATATTGGGAGAGCAGAATCCTTGGAATTCTTGAACCTGGGGCGGAACAGATTGAGAGGTCTCGTCCCCTTCCAAATTGGTCGTCTTTCTATGCTCTCAAAGTTCTCTGTTGACAGCAACTTCATCAGTGGAGAGATACCTTTCCAACTTGGGAATTTAACGAATTTACAGAGCTTGGATCTCAGCCACAATAGTCTTATAGGTACGATGGGCTTTTAGCACACTTCTTTATTTATTTTCAATTAATTGAGCAACCTTGGATAATTTGTTTGCTTTGATTTTCACTCATTTATTTTATTTTCTTTAACCAAAAAATTAGTCAAAATAATTTGTTCATCGACTGCTTCAGAGAAAAAACAAAATAATTAGTCAAATCCTTCTAAAACTCCTAGTGATGTGTTTCACAGGTACAATCCCTCCTGCACTGCTTCATCTAATCAATCTTACCAACTTATATCTCAATTCAAATATTTTAGAAGGTCATATACCAGGAGATATTGGGAATTTGACATCTTTGCAACATTTATACCTCTCACAAAACAGATTGAGTGGACCTATCCCTATTCAGCTTCGTGATTGCTTGAATTTAATGGAGTTGTCATTGAGCAATAACTCTTTAAGTGGAACCATTCCCGATCAGATTGGCAATCTCTCTTCGCTTTCACTAATTAATATCAGCCATAATTTCATAAGTGGAGAGATACCTTTTCAACTTTGGAATTTATCAAGGTTGGCGGTGCTAGATCTTAGTTACAATAGTTTAGAAGGTCATATACCTGGTCAAATTGAGAATATGATATCTTTAAAATATTTGAACCTCTCCCAAAACAAATTGAGTGGACCAATTCCAACTCAGCTCGGAAATTGCCGCCCTTTAGTGGAGTTGTCATTGCGCAACAACTCCCTAAGTGGGAGCATCCCCATTCAAATAGGCAATCTCCTTTTCCTCTCACGAATTGATATTAGCTACAATTTTATCAGTGGAGAGATACCTTCCCAACTTGGGAATATACCAAACTTGGAGGCCTTGGATCTTAGTTACAATAATCTCTTAGGTCAAATCCCAATTACATTGCTTAAGTTTTCAAAAAGGTTTTTCATAGGAAATAAGGGATTATATTATCACCATCTTAGGAACAAAGTGTTGAGGCATGTTAAAATTATTCTTCCCACCACCATTTCTGTTGTCTTGGTATCTCTCGCTTTGTTGTTGCTTTCTAGAAGAATACATGGAGCTAAAAGTAGGGAAGCATATCCGAGTCCAATGAAAAATGGGGATATATTTTCAATATGGAACTTTGATGGAAGGATTGCATATGAAGATATCATTGAAGCAACTGAGGATTTTGACATTAAATATTGCATTGGCACTGGTGGGTATGGCAGTGTTTATAGAGCACAATTGCCAAGTGGCCAAGTAGTTGCTTTGAAGAAACTTAACCAAAGGGAAGCAGATGAGCTAGCCTTTGATAAGAGTTTCAAGAATGAGCTTAAAATGTTGACAGAAATACGACATAAAAACATTGTGAAGCTTCATGGATTCTGCCTGCATAGGAGATGCATGTTTTTGATCTATGAATACATGGAAAGAGGAAGCTTGTTTTGTGTGCTTAGAAATGATGATGAAGCTGTGGATCTGGATTGGAACCTAAGACTAAATGTCATAAAAAACATAGCACATGCTTTGTCTTACCTTCACCATGATTGCATCCCGCCCATCATTCATCGGGACATATCAAGCAACAACATTCTATTGAACTCGAAACAGGAGGCTTTTGTTGTTGATTTTGGAAATTCTAGGTTTTTGAATCCTAATTCGTCTAATTATACTGTACTTGCTGGGACCTATGGTTATATTGCCCCAGGTTTTCTCCATCACCATTCCTTTTCTATTATCTTATTTCCTTCTTTATTGTTGAATTGACATGTAAAACATATATTGTTTTTTTTTTCTTTTTTTTTTTCTTCTTTTTAGAGCTCGCCTATACAGTTGCTGTGACTGAGAAGTGTGATATTTATAGCTTTGGAGTTGTGGTATTAGAAGTATTGATGGGAAAGCATCCTGGGGAACTATTAACATCATTGTCATCACCACCATCTTCTTTACAAAATGTGATGCTAAGTGACATATTAGATACACGTTTATCCCCTCCAAGAAGCAGAAATCTTACAAAGAATATTTTGGTTGCCACTACACTTGCATTGGCTTGCTTGCATGCAAAACCCAAGTCCAGGCCAACAATGAAATTTGTGTCTCAACAGTTTGATGCCCGTCAAAGACCACTCTTGAAGCCTTTTCCAACTATTTCTCTATTGGAACTGGTGAATAGTGAATTGGAGATGAAAAATGGAATAGAATCTCAACCAAAAGTTTCAAGTTACCCAATCAAGTATCATGGTTCTTCTTCAAATGAAATTCTTGATGTCTAATTCTGGGAATCAAAAGGCTACCTTGTTTTGATAAGGGATAGTCAATAAAATAACTTCTTCCTTTGGTTAATAAAAAGAAGTACCCATAATGTATGTCTAATAAATATTTTACTTCTTATATATACATCACTAAGTCAACATACTATGAGTTTCCAGAAATCATTTTTAGTTAACTAAACAGTGAATTAATGTTGTTCCAAAGTTATTTTAGAATCCATTGATTCATTTGATTGGTAATATGGGGCTTTAATAGCATATCTGCTCATCTTATTTCTTCCGTTACTAGAATTGTTAAATACCCAATTCTTATTTGACTGCAATCAATCAAGGAAAGTCAATAAAATATCCAACTCTAATTTCAACCCAGGTCCCCAGAGGGGAATTGGGGAAAATTTTTAAAATTTGTTAAATACCTATAATTTTGTCAAGGTGGCGAGGTTGATCATGGCCGCTCTTGATGGGTCCAGTGAGCTCTAGAAGCCAATGAGCTAATGCGGACTACCGTCGAGAAATTTGTAATCTTCTTCCGTTGGATATTGGGTGGAACGAGCGGCAGTTTTCTTGCTGCTCTGACAAGATGAGAGGAAAATCTGTGATTCACGCTGTTATTATGAACCCGGGGTTGATTGAAGCTCTGCATCGAGAACCCATTTGAGGGGTTTTCAGGAAGTCCATGTGGAAAAGGAGAGCATAAATGAATGTAGTTGGGGAAGATGAAATCGATTCGCAGTAACTAAAATGATGTCGTTTCAAGGCGTTGTATTTGTATTTTGTAATAGACTTTAAAAGTACGCTGTTATTTACTTGTAAATTATAATCCCGTTGGCCAAGAAAACAGCAACCCTGTGGTTATTAGGTGAAAATTTTAACAATATAAAATGTTCATATTCAGATGAGAAAATATTATTTTTGGGCCATAGATGAAAAATATATGGCTATGACCAAAATATTTATTACAGCATGATGATTTAATTTTACTCGAGCAAAAGTACTAATATATTTAAGTAATATAATAGTAAAAATTAAATATTATTTTACAAAAGTTTTTAACTAATTAAGTATAAAAATTAATTAATTTTAGTTTTTA